GATGTTTTTTGATAGGACAGGGATATATATATATTTATTTATATTTTGTTTTATGGTGTTTTTTGTGGAGGTCCACGACGGAATGAATTAAAGGAGCGATAACGGCATATATTTAGTTATTATTATTATTATTTTCGCTTCTTTTGGTTGGGAGTTGTGGCGGGAGGAGTCCAAATTCTTTTACTGCGTCAGTCATGAATATAAATATATTTATATTTATATTCATTTATTTGTTTTTGATTCAAATAGAATGAGCAACACGTCACGATCGTGGGGAGGCAGGGAAAATCAGAAATACGCACATAAGTGCGTGTGTGTGTACATGTAAATAAAGGAATGTATATATATATATTTGGAGCGGAAAGAAATGTGGCTGTGGTTAAAACATTGCTTCTCCATCTAACCCACCACCACCACCACTACCAATAGTAGCGGCAGTGGCAACCCCCTTCTATTGTTTTGTTTTGTTTTTTATGATTATTAAAGGCCGCTTTTTTTCTTTTTTTTTGGTTTTTACGGTGGTTGTTGGTCGCGTGCGGTTTATTGAATGAATGAATGAATGAATTATTAGTTTTTGTTTTTGGTTTTGGTGTTTGCTTTTTTAATTTGTTGCTTTGTGAATATATAATATATAATATATAATATATATATTTGGGTTTATAAAAATTTTTTTTTTGCTTTTTCCTTTTTTTTTTGCATTTTATCAGTGTGTGTTTGCGTGTCTTTGTCATTCTTCCCCCCCCCCCACCTTTTTTTTTTTTTTTTTTTGGGAAGAGGGTGTTGGTATTTTCTTTGTGTGTGTGTGTGTGTGTAACTCCGAGCGACATTAGCATACAATACATACAATAGGCGTATGTATATATATATATATATACATTCTTGTATGTATCTGTATAGTTTTATATATAAGGCATAATTGATGTTGTCACATGCCTCGAATGATCCTCTTACAGGGGCTTTGGATACCCTCGCCGTGCTGCATCAAGTAATGAGATTTGTACCGTATAATCGCCGGACTCTCTGTACAATGCGATGTATATCAAAGCCATATCGTCGTGCTGTGCAGCACCCAAATGGACCATGGGCGGGTCGTGAGGAAATCATAATGTCAAAATACGGCCACTGTATTATATTTAACGCCAAAGATGATGAAGAGGGACGCTCCAGTTTCCGACTGTCTTCTGTTTCTCCAATGGGCCGCAAGTTTACTACGCTTGGCGTGAAGATGTTGAGCCGTTACCACAAGCGCGTAGCAGATGGCCTAACACGACTTGCGCTGCATCATTCTCACATTGATCTTGAGTGCTTCGAGGCTCTTGCTCCTCTTACAAACCTCCGGGAACTGGAGTTAGCGTCATGCCGGCAAATCACGTCTATTGCGGAGGCCAGTCATGTGGCGAATTTGGAGTCGCTTGAGGTCAACCTCTGCCCGCTGGAACCGGACGGCGCTGTGGGCCTGCTGCTCCCGAAGCTCAAGCGACTCAAGTTACATGCCTGCTATCGACTGAGTAATTTGAACGGCATCGCACCCGAGACCGCCGCCGCGTTGGAAGAAGTGTACATTGAGAACTGCAACATTTACGATGGCACCGCCAACGAGTTCTTTATGAATTTCACAACAAATTTGCGCGTGCTTCATCTGCCCGGGGCTCACATTGACACAGCACTCACATTTATTCCCGAGGACGTGCGGAGAAAGTCGCTGACATCTTTGAACCTTCAAGAAACGTCCTTGCGGTTTGAAACCTTGTGTGAATTGGCTCCCTCCATGCAAGATCGTCTGGAGTTTCTTTCATTGGATTCCTGTACCGAATTGGAGAGTTTTGAGCCTCTCGGTAGACTTCAGGAGCTCCGCTTTCTTGATGTCGCAGAGTCTCTTCACGGCGAGGGCCTTCACTTTCTGACGTGCTGCACCAAACTGGAACTCGTTCGCATGGCGAATTCTCAAATAGAAAACATTATGTTTGTATCCTCATTGCAATCATTAAGGGTGCTCGATGCGCCCAACTCGAGTCTCGGTGACCCTTCCCTGATGTTCCTTGAGAATTTGCCCATGCTGGAGGTGGTAGTATTGACAAAGTGCCTTCTCATCACAAATATTAATGTCTTGTGTACATGCAGACGAATTAGACGTATTTTTTGCGCCAATACCGGGGTGACAAATGAGGGGATCACGCTACTTACAGGGTGCACTGAGTTGGAGGAACTTGACCTGAAGATGACGGCGGTGACGGACGTCAATTTCCTTGCCAGCTGCCCTTCCCTTAAGTGTATAAATGTGTGTAACGCGGTGATTAGCTGTGAGGGGTGCGAGGCACTACTGAAGAAAAACATAGAAGTTATCTGCGACTCCTTTGATACGAGAAGTGATTACATTGACGCGTAGGCAAAAGGAAAAACAACAACAAAAGCGAGAAGACAGAGGGAAAGACACACACAGAAAAAAAGAGAAAGTGAGTGTGCTTGCGTGGGAAAGAATTAATTGAGAAATACACACATTTTTACACGCATTTATTGACGACCTTCTGTGATTCCTTTTTTTTTTTTTTCTCTCTCTCTCTCTGTGTGTTTTTTTGTGTGTTTGCCTTTGAGGCAATTCCATTGGATGAAGAATGATGGGACATGACATGACGGTGCATCCTCGCCGCTCGTGGTGCCAACGCAAGCCGGGGACAATTCCCACATGAAACGTTTGAAGGCGAAGGCATCCAAACGGATGTGAGTGGACGAATATTTGATGGCCGACTCTTCACACGTCGCTCCTGTACAAAGGGTGCAGCGGGTCGTGCCCACGCACACAAACACACACGAAAAAAAAAAAATATATATTTTTGTTGTTTTTCTTTTCTTTTGCTCCTTTGGGCAGCCGCAGGGCTGCCTTTTTCTTTCTATTTTTTTTTTTTTTTGCTTTTCTGTGTGTGCCTGAGATCGTGCACGAGACAACATTTGCATCAAAAAAACAAAAACAAAAACAAAAAAGAAAAAGGGGCGAGAGAGGTGTTGGTTGGATGGAGGAGGACAAGATGGGATGCAGGGATGACGGGCCAACAAGCCCGGGGGAGTGGCTCTCAAGGGCGGAGGCAAAGGATCACCATTTGGAGTTGGCCAATACCATAAAGTCGTTTCACTACCGTCTGCAGCAGCGGATGTCAACCGAAACGTCTGCCTTTTTGTCACCGAAGGAAGGGCAGAAGGAGGAAGAAAAAAACGAAGAGGCAATTTGGTCTCGTCTTATAGCTGAGGAAGGGGAAAATATGAAGGCGTATGCGACGGCAATGCATGCGATCGCCACCCGTTATTGGGATCCGGATCAAGAGGGGAGTGAGGAGAATGTATCTGGGTTTCGTTCTCATGTCACCTCCACCGCAGGCGGGGTAACACGGACCCGCTCGAGATGTCAACATGAAAATGGCGGAGAGGAGGGTGGCAATCAACATGGAAGGTCCACCAGTGGGCCATCGCGCCACAACGACCGCGTGGCGTACTCATTGCACTGCGTGGCGGATTATTACCTCGGCAGCTGCCTGCCGCTTGTCAACACCGAGCAGCAGTTAAAGCATCATCATCATGATGGAACGCATGATGTAAGCTCTTTTGATAAAAGCCATCCCGGCCATTCTTCGATAGTTGAATGCACGGGGATTTATGAACAGATTCCTCGGATTGCGACTAACACCATAAAGATATGGCGGCGTGCTTTTTATGCAGCCCACGGCCGCCAGGCAACTGCAACTGAAGTTGAGAATGCAACATATGATGCACTTTGCTTACATGGTTGTGGGGGGGAAAAAAGTCAAGAAAGACGCGGGAATTTGCCGTTGGAGCCTTTGCTTTATAAGACTTTGCTATCAACGTGTGGCCAGGGGAAATTAACGAGCTCGGCTGCATCATTGGCAGGTACCTACATGTCTGCGACACGCAATGAGGTAAGGCGCCGTCGCTTCACTAATGGTGGAGACACGCCGCCAGAAACTTTTCTGCCACTGCAGGTGCTTGATGTAGGCTCATGCTACGGCCCTTTTAAGGGAAAAACGATCACAAACGGGGTGCTGCAAGTAAGACTGGCAGTGACGGCAATAGATCTGTGTCCCTTCGAGGGTAGCAATGTCCTTCAAGGGGACTGGCTTGCTGTTCGTTTCTATGATTTAGGGGAGAGACAGAAGGAAGAATACTCGGAAGGGGTGGGAACGGAATCTCTTGTCCGAACTGGCGACGACGCAGATGTCGTGACGAAAACGCCTAAAAGTACTCTTTGGGTGGCTCGTGGCCAATTTGATGCCGTGTTTTTCTGCCTGATGCTCTCTTTTCTTCCTCATCCCCGTCTGCGGTACCGTGCCTGTCTTCATGCCCACTTGGCGCTCAAGGATGGAGGACTACTTGTCATTGTGAGTACCCGCACGCAATGCACACGCCGTGGCTCTTGGGTAGACGACTGGGTCACGTGCATTGAGGGAATAGGGTTCAAGCGTGTGCACAAGCACATCATGGGGCAGGTCGTGGGGCTGAGTTTCAGCAAGGAGGCGGGGCCAGAAATTGAGGGCGACACTGCGGAGTGGCTTGGAAGCATGATGGCCCGCCCTGAAGCGGAGTGCGGCCTGCGCATACTCGGCGACGATTGCTGCTAACCCTTCAAGCAGAGGCTTCACCTCCGCCCTCAGTCTCGCACTGCGACAAACAACAACAACAAGAAGAGGGAAAACAGAAGAAAGCAACAGCCAAAAATTAATGGAGGATGCCGACTGTTTATCCATGAATGTCTGAAGGGATTACGGAGTCGCTGAACGGTTTCTCTCCTTTTTTTTTCTTCTTGTTCGTATGTAACACTTGTGCACATCTATTTATTGTTGTTATTATTATTATTTTTTTTTTTCACTGCTGAAAGAGGTGTTTTTAAAGAGCTTCGTTTGTGTGTGTGTGTGTGTGTACACATGTGCCGGGGGGGGGGGGGGGGGGG